GACTAGGATAGGAAACACCGAAGGACAATTCTATCTTAAAATATTACATTTTCAAACCATTTCCTGCTAGGTTACCATGTTCTTCTTTTACACATACAGTATATACACATTTACACATACAGAGTAAGCATAGTGTCCTCTGTCACAATCTTTACTTTGTCACGGTCTTTAGTTAGGCACTACTGAGTTGTGTCTAATTTCTAATGACTGTATTTCTACCAACTCACCCTGTCATTAGTGTTATTTCATCATAGTCTTCCATCCAAGTCTATGCCGACTTAGCTTCTGAGCTCAAGCAATATTTCTGTCATCATCATTGCAATTCTCTTTCCCATTATCCTTCCCACACATATATCTTGAGATGTTTCTAGGTTTAAGGAATGGTGATGTAAGAAGACACCCAGGGTACTAAAATTAAGTCTGTTTAAAAAATTTAGAGGGTAGATTTAGTGCTAGTGCCACTTCTAATGGTTCCTACGATCCATTTTCAGTAATCAGTTGCAAATAAATTCCTTATTTTTCCCAGAGATAGGCATATCATTTGCTTTGCTAAATGAAAATATCTATTTAATGTGTCACAGAGAATAAAACAAAGGTAAACTCTCATTTCAAAGGCCTTCAAAGCCATCATCAGCTGGATAGGACAGCAGAATAATATTGTTATTCTCTCTTTTCTCCTACACATCTTTTTGCATTCACTGAATACAAAAAGAAAATTTTAAAGAAAGGGGGGGAAAGGCTAAAAAAAGAAACAAAAACATACAAGGCACATATTCAGAGACAGAGATAGAAGCATAAAACATATAATAAACATTTTAATGAATGGTAGTAATTATTAATTATAATCATAATTGATAACATTGGTTTGTAAATTGTACATATAACTTCAATTCTACAGTTCACTGCATAGAAGACACCATATGTTTATCTTTCCAGTATGTATTTCACCTTCAGTCAAATGTGAGTTTCTATATTATAGGAATAAAAGAATAGGAACAGCTGATATTGAATCATGAGAATAACTGGATTAATGAATACTGTATTAGACACTGTAGAAATGTATATTTTAATGAAGCATTGATTTCATTGCAACTCCAACTTAATAGTTTCTATATAAATGGGGTGTAATAAATATGAAATATTTATCTTTTGAAAACAATATATTATAAGGAAGGAATGCAAACTTTATTTGATCAAGGTTAAAATACGTTATTATTTCTGGTAATCTGTAATGGAATTTCTGTGACATTAGGACAGAAAAGATGCTGATTTGTCCAGAGATAAAAGGAAGGATATTTGATGAAGAGATCATTGGTTGTAAATTAAGAGGGGCTGAAGAGTTACCAAAATAGTTTTAACTTGTTGTGACAAAGATTTCCTTTGCACCTTTATCTACTCTTTTTTCAGTTTGCATTGGATTTACCTATTGTAATTAAAATCCTTAATAAAATTATAAATGTAATGATGCATTCTATTGAAGTTTATTTTTAAACTTTATATTACTGTATTTATATTACTGTATTATATAAAATGAAGCAAAAACAGAGAAAAAGGAAAGGAATGCATATACATTCAATAGATATAAAAATGATTATAAAAGAGAAAAGCATTTTTTAAAAAACAAAAGGCAAAACAAACAAAATGATAAAAAGATGATTAAAAAGGGCTTTTGGGTAGCTCCCCTCCCTTCCTCCCTCCCTTAAGCAATTCTTGTTATTTTTAGTATGTTTTTTGAATTCAAAATCAACCAGGTTGGCATATATGATTAGATCTTTCTTAGTGTAATTGTCCTTGAAAAAATATTCTATTATTCTGAAGGAAAATATATATGTTATTCAGTAACACGGCATGTACTGGACATTTGAAACTGGTGTAAAATTGGAAAGGAATGTGATTTCTGCTTGCATTTTTATTCTGTAACTCCTTCTCCTATTTCACATTGCAGGGTTTTCAGTTTGACAATTTCCTGCTCTTCTTGCTCATCCCCACCTTGTACCCTCCCTTTTCAACGCCTGAAGAATTTTCAGTGTAAATACGAAGAACAGGAGAGTTCAGATTGCAGAAAATAGCTTGGGTACAAAAAGACAGCTCAAGAATCAAGGCATGATGCAGTGCAGGTAAAAGCCAACCTATAAAAAATAAGCGGTGAGACCAAGGTACACACCCATGGTTACACAAGAGATACCTGCAAGTATTTGTCCAACAGAACCTGTTCTAGGCTTTAATCACAGAACACATAAACACAAAGCAGTTTCTATATAGTTTTAGGCATCCAAGGTAACAGTGTTGGTGTAGCTTTAGTTATTCAATTGTTTTGACCCAGTTATACTGGGCAGTCTGGAGTAACATTTGCTCTTGTATGGCTCTGTGCTGTGCTCTTAAGTCAAAGCCTCTGAAAACTTTCTTATTCAAAGATCAAATGCATGTGTCAACCCGCAAAAGGATTTAAAGTGATCCGAGAATAAAATTAATCTTCAGGGAGATACTCCCCCCAAAAAAGCAGTGCTAGAGGGAAAAAATTTTTTTACATTTGAATTTATTTGATTGATATCTGAACGGAATTACAAATGAATTTAATGTTGAATGTTTCGTGCTTCTTTATCATCTGAATATGTATCATACCCCCACAGCTTAGGTTTTTTTCTGCTGTGGTATCTTCATGCCCCTCCAGCGTTATCTGATATACCATGCAAAATCCCGAAAGAGATTTGTTTTGAGGTTTTGCTCTTGTCAAGCTTTTCAAAGGTGTTCAATATGATCTTCATACCACAAAGTAACAGCGAATTACTGGGCCTGACAAAATTTCCGAGAATGCCTAATTTGATTTTGCTGGCCTGTCAATCAAATACCCTCCCCCACACACCACACCCTACAGAAGAGAAACATTTCTCCCTCCCTTCTAGGCCACGCTGAACAGTGGCACTTAGTGGCAACATTGCGGCTGAACCTGAAGTAGGCCAACCTCAGTCCTAGGGCCAGTACATATTCCCAATGGCAAGTTTAACTCCCCCCCCCACACACACACACATGACCCAGTGGTCTTTAGGATTTGCTGCATGACACTTACCTTCTCTTTTTGTTCACACGACCCTGTGGCCTACCCGAGGCTGCTGGGAGTCGCACAAGGCCTTTATTCTTGAAGTGGCTTTGGAGAATGCTCTTCTGCAGACTCTGAAATCCTCAAGAAAGCAGGCCCCATTCTCATGCAATTTTCGAAGGCTCTGGCAGCTTCATGTCTGCAGGCCTCCTGCATGTTCGAAGGATCCAGAGGCCTCCTGGGAGGGCCCCCCATTCTCATGCAGCCTCCACAAATTGTGCAAGAACAGGGCATACTTTTGAGAATAGTTTATTCTTTTGGTGTTGATGAATACTGGTGTATTACCCAAAACATTGTGACATCATGTTTGACATGTGTGTCATTGGTTCACCCCACTGACCTACCCTGACATTAGTCAGGCTGCCAATGCTTATCTGTATTTTTGTTTTAAACAAAAGATATTTCTCAGTTTAGAAAAAGAAAAGAATGGGATGTTGGTATGCTGAGAAACAAAAGGTCTTATTTTTATGTTCTCCAGAAGAACCTCATAGTTAAATATGTTGGCAGTGGCATGTGGTCTATTTCTTCTTTATGGTGTCAGATACCATGACCTTTACTAGGCAGTGTCAAGTCAACAAACATTTAGCAGGAAAAAAAAATAAAACTGCAAAAAATTTATCTTGCTGAAGGAGCTTAAAGTATCTTGTCTCCCAAAACTCATTTTGATCTCAGCTTTCTCTGATCTCATATACTTTTGCACTCCTAGTTTTAAAATTAGAACCTCAGCTACCTTTTCATTAATGGGTTCATCAATTTTTACCCATATTCAAGAATGAAATTTAAATGACAAAATTCTATGGACTAATTGGTTTTGTGGATCACAGCCATGGACTTTCCACACAATCATTTCTGAGTTATAAAAGTGGCCATTTTCATCTGCACACAGACCAATGTGTACCATTTATAAATTGATAATGGAGTCTAAAAGAAATAAATTTCACCATGTTGACAGTGCACCTAGTCTACATCTAGTCTGAGACTTAAATAAGAACTTTCTAATTATATTATAAAGTTTTACAGAGTATGCTGTTTATGTAATATTGGAATCTAAACTGTTATCTTCAACATTATACCATTCTAGTATTTCAATGTTCCATTTCTCCCACTCCACACCAGTTGAAAATGACTTGTTTTAACTTTTCATTTTAACCATGTTTGAAACAGGTGTCAATGATTTAAATAATGTACCTGTGTTTTTAAGCTAAGATATTTCATTATTTAGATAGTGGAATTATCTAGAGCTATATAGAGCTATATGGTGCTTTGGAATATCCAGTCTCCAAATGATGTTTGGGAACATGCACTACTGGACAACTTGCAAAACTTTAAAGCAGGTGCAATTTTCCCTGGGCTTGGGCTGGATAATGAATCTGAAGTGCTTCAGTAGACCTACTAAATATGGTAAAACAGCTGAAAAAGAATCTCAAAGGAAAGTAAGTGTTCAGGAAGCTTAATCTTATGGGTCATTGGTGCTCTGTGAGCTTGGTGGTTTTCTTGTAGATGTTTCATTACCAAACAAGTAAACAACTCAAGGAACCACCAACACCAGTCTCAGAAATAGTGATAGACAAGCCACTATTATATAAACTGAGAGCAAACACCACTCCCTTTTAGCATTGATGATGTTACCTAGTTTGGGAATGAAACATCTGCAAGAAAACAATTAAACTCACAGAGCACCGTTCAACCTTGAGCTACAAATAATCTCTTCTATTGATGAAAACTAGAGATTTGAGTGGTGTGGAGTTATTTTCTCTATCACTGCATAACAGGGCTTGCTCCGAGAAATCTCCCCTTTTAAAAAGCAAGAATCTTGTCGAATAAATACATCTTGGAGGATCAGCAAGTGATATTTCAAAAATCTACAGCCTACATAACAAATCATTCTTTCAAGCTTCAAATTAGCAATAGTCATAATTTTTATTACCAAGTTTCTAAAAAATATGACTAGCATTTGATTAGTGCCAATTGATTTTTGTAAAATCAAAGTTCATTTAGTCGTACATCATACATTAAAGTGGTAAGAAAAATACTGACATTTGAGATTTTATACATGTTCATGTAAAAATTATGTTGCATAAAGTTTTTAATTAGAAAATATGTAAGTCGGAACGGTACATGACAAAATCCTACACAACACACTTATGGAAGAACAAAGATTTCACAGTTTAGCTTGACTTCATCAGGAGCTGGAAAAGCAGCTCCAAATAAGAGTATCATTGTAGCCACATTTTGCTTTTGTTCAGATAAGGTGCACTTAAGAGGCTAATCTGATTCTATAAGGGAAGAGATTTAAAATTTTCATCTGTTCTAGAGGATTAAAAGATCTAAAGAATTTTGATTCTCTGATGAAACAATACAATTATTCACTCTTACATATAATAGAGAAGCTTTAATAAAAAGCAGGTCTGATGCATATATAAAGTATCTGGGAGAAAACCAGGGCGCCTTGCAGACCAAATATCTTACCTTTTGGGGGGGAAGTATTAAAAGTTGCACACAGGCTAACCCCCTAGATCTCTCTCTCTAGTCCAATGTGCTGCATCTTTAAAACATGTGGACTTCAACTCCCAGAAATCCCCAGCCAGTTTTAAGTCCTATTTTAAAGTTGCTGAGCTTGAAAAACACAGCTCCAGTCGGAGGCTGCCCCTTCTCTAAGATGCTAACTGATAAAATTTTTTAGAGGTAGTACGTAGAAGTCTATGTCAGTTATTGTATACTGAAGCTCACTCAGTACTAGGACTGAGATCTCTCTCTCTCTATATATATATAGTTATACATCTCAAGCTAATACATACTATATTATGTTTAAACAGCTTGATTTTGAAGATTTGGTAAGAATGCGGTAATCATAAAACTCTCTATAGTTCTGTCATCCTGGCAACTGCATTACATTGTAATATTTGATGCAGCCTGTCAATTTAGTAGCAGTAAGCACTAGCCTCTCTCCCTCTATACTAGAGTTCAAAGATTTTGCCAAACTCAAAAAGAGCTCTGGTTTCCTTGGAAATGATGCTGCCTCAAAAACGAAGGAAGTTTTTACAGGTACATGCACACACGGGTGTGTGCATATTTATATACAATATATATTTATAACATACACATTCCTCTCATAATACAAGCTACCTGATTGAGGCTACAATCTTAAGGAATGGAAATTAAGCACAGTATATAATAAACATTTCCTTAATGCTATAATTGTAAATACAATAGGTGCAAAATGATAAAACATAATCAGAATGTTTACAGAAATGTCAAAAAACCAGAATCAAGGAGTTAAGCAACACGGTAACCAATATATTTCCACAATAAATTAACATCCAGTTCTTCCACTAAAGTTTTGGATTCCATGCTTCCATGATAGTTAAAGGTTTAACATCTACAATATAATTCATCAAGTTAATTCACAGTAGTACCGAACATACACACAGTAATTTTTATTGTGGAATATTTTTTTCCTGCAATTCTGGATTGTACCTCAATCACAACTACATAAAGAAAAAAGGTATAAACATATCCCTATAGGTTAAATATAAAAATTCCTTTGCTTAGAGCTTTATATTTAAAAAAAAGCCTTTTGTCAAAGGGAAAGAAGTTCAAATGATATTTCCCATGTTTATGATTATACAATTTGCCTTCTTTAAAGTTCTCTTCACTATAGAAGATACTTCGGATTGTTAAAAACAAATCTATATATAAGACACCTGATTGCCAAATCTATCCTTAAAAACTTGTACTTGGAATTAAAAACACCACAAAAAAAATTCACATTATAGATATAATAAAACCCCAGAGTCAATTTCTTGGCCTGGTAGCCTTCTGGGCAAAGGGTTCTTTAATGGACCTGCTCTTCAGTAAAGGAAGTTGCTTGCTCACTGGGTATATTGGTAGTGCTCCAAGCAGCAATGAGCATTCTCAAAATTACCTTAATTCCATTGAATGACAAACGGTGGTTAGGTTAATTCTAGTTCTGAATATTAAAACAGGTAGGGGTGGGGAGCAAGATAAAAAGAGTGTCTCTATCAAGGCTCTTGCAGCTGCTCAAGGACACCAGGTCCTGACCAGGTCCACAACAACCACTGAAGTCAATAGAAAAATCCCACTGCTTTTAATAGGCTTGGATTGCAATGCAACAATTTTTATGACATTTTTTTTTAATGAACGGGTAGATATAAGTGATAGACCTAGAGCAGGATGTCAAAACTCCCAGCCACGGGCCAGATGCATCACACGCTGGCCACGCCCGGTTTAGTGAAGGGGGAAAAAGTCCCAATATGTCATGTGATGACACCGTGATGTGAGTTTGACATCCCTGATCTAAAGGAATTATTTAACTGGCTTTCATTAAATTGCCTTATCCACTGGAGATTTATTCCTCCAGCATCAGGAGTAAATGACAATACAGTCAAAGATTCATAAATTAAAAACAACAATAGTTATACCTCCCAACTAACCATTCCATTAGTAAATCCAAAGTATAGTTGTGTGAACAGTTGCACTAAGATTCATGAAAACTGAAACTTGATCTATTTTAAACCATTCTGTAACTTTTTAATTAATACATATTGGAACATTGGTTAAAATGGTGGTAATCTTGTGTTTAATTACTTTTATTAATATTTTTAGGTTAAAATAAGGCATTTTCGGGGCTGGATCTCATTTGACTTCAAGATGTATGCAATATGCAGACAGACCCATGATAAGAACCAAAATCTGGTCCTTATAAATGGAAAACAGGACATTACACTATTTTGAGCAGTAGGATCATTGTTCCGTCTTGAAAATGTAAGATGAGAGCCAGCCCATGTTTAAAAAAAAAAAAATACTCAGCTAGATTTCAAAATGGAACAAATGAAGTGAATCACAACTCCATTCTGTTAATATAAAAAAGCCACTGAAATATAATAATTGAGAGGTATATATTGTATAGGTGCCGCCAAGTAGGTATAGTTTTTGGCCTCTTAATTTGAAAAAGCAAATGAAACACTTTCACAATGTGATGATTGTCCCATCTTCTTCTAAGGTCTTTTGGTCAGAATCCTGAATTTTAAATTCCACATTAATGCTGCTTGTTGAACAGTACAGGTTGACTTCCCTGGAAGAAATGAAGCCGTTCTGCATGGATTCATGGTGGGTCTCAGTTTGTGTCAGTGAATCCAGACTTTCACTGGATGGAGCAGCTTTTGGGATTTGCTGTGGCTCCCCATTATCTTCAATGATTATATCATCTTCATCACTGTCTTCTTCCTCGGGTTGGTAGCGTGGCACAATGTGTGGAGTGTAACTTGGAAGGCTGTTATCAGTAGACTGTCCTGAGCTACCAGAAGTCCGGCTGTTCCTAACAACATTGTTCCTCTGGTTTGCTGGTCTCACAGTAATGATCAGATTGCGACTGTTGGCAATCATCATATCTGTAACTTGATCGAGGCTTTTTCCTGAAACTTCTATACCGTTCACTTCTAGGACTTCATCATTAACAGCCAGTAAACCTGTGCTTTGAGCCAGGCCTCCAGGAACCAGCCTGGATATGAATATACCAGGAACTTTTTCTAGCCCATGTGGGGTTACTCTGACACTGGAGCCATCGCGTATATAAAATCCTAGAGGCTTTTCAGTTCCATATTTATAAAGGCGCACTCTACGATGAGTTTCTGGAAGTATGTCCACATCAATAATAGAAGATACTGGCCTGAAGTCTTGTGGCAAACTAATAACAATGTGTGGCTTTTTCCTATGGTTGTCAGGACGGAGCACATTGGATAAGACGTTTTTCTTCCTTGTCATGGTATCTGTCCCAAAGGCACTGTAGTCTGCATCTTCTATAGGAGAAGGAGAAAATAACGTGTTAGTAATTATTAAAAGGCAAGACACATTCCAAATAGTCTCTAAAACATCATTCATTAAAAGACAATTCAGTGATTAGAAAAGTAAAAGAAGCTAGAAAAACCAAACAACAGTGGTGACTATGAGAGAGATTTAGGTGTCATAGTGGACAATCACTTATATTTAAGTCAGAAGTCTGCTGCAGCTGCCAAAAAAGCCAATGCAGTCTTGGGTTGCATCAACAGAGGATCACATATTGCTTTATACTACACTGGTAACTGGTAGATGCACGTGGAACACTGCATCTAATTCTGGTTACCATAATACAAAAAAGATACTGAGATCCTAGACAGGGTGCAGAGAAGACAACAAAGATGATAAGCGGTTTGGAGGTTAACTGTACAATGATTGTTACGGGAACTAGGTATATCTAGTCTATGGCAGAGAAGGACTAGGAGTGATATCGTAGCAGTCTTCCAGTACTTGAGGGGCTGTCACAGAGAAGACCGAGTCAACTTACTCCCCAAACTGCCTGAGAGCAGCGCAAGAAGTAACAGCTGGAAGATCATTAAAGGCAGATCCAACCTAGATCTAAGGAAAAATTTCCTGACAGTGAGAAGAACAATGATCAGTGGAATGGCTTTAAAGACCTCCAGAAGTTGTGGATGATCCATCACTGGAGGTTTTTAAGAAGAGCCTGGACAACCATTTGTCTAGAATGGTAAAGGGTCTTTTCCAGCCTGTTATTCCAATGTTCTGTGAATTTCTTAAAAAAGTTATTTCATTTAAAGATAATATTAGGACCATTATAGATTTTGGATCTTTTTTTTTTGTTCTGGGATTGTAGCACAAATATGACTGCTAGAAAAGCAGAAACTCAAAGTATTTAAACAAAGAGTCAATCATTTGAGGTAAGGGATGTATTTGAGCATTCTTTATTCCAAATGTACTTCTATGTTCCATTTTTGTTTTTACTTTTCAAGTTTCAGTATATGAGAATAAAAAGCATGAGGATGGGCAAAGTGCCAGGGGACTCATTGCTGCCAAGTATCTGGATAACAGCTAAATGACCTGGTTTTAATCTCCTGAAAACAAATACCATTCCACAAACTTTCTTCTCTGCCCTCTTCCAGAGTAAGCAAAACAGACTAAATAAGTAACATATTTAAACACTGGAAGATACTTTTAACAAGTGGCTGAACCACAAGCTAATATTCCTGGCAACCTGCATAGAAAAATGCTCCTCAGTTACTGCAAAATACTTCAGTTCAAAGAGAAGAAAATACAGTTTGATGAAATACTTGTATTTCTATAGTCATTGTAAATATTGCAAGTGAACTATTTTGTCATATTTGACAAAGTGTCTTCTTTCAGAGCAGTGTGGTTTGAAAATTAGAGCTGAGGTAACCGGTACGCAATGGTACAGCATAACAGAGTCATCTGAAGTATGCTAAAACCACCAGAATCTTGAAATCTGTTTTGATAAGGGTATACATACTTCCAGGAAAATTATCTACAGATGTCTCGAAGATATTGCAAGACTAAAAGTTGCTTTATTCTGACATAAACATATTTGAGCTCATTTTCAATCAAGTTACACATTATCATTTATGGTCTTTCACAACTTGGCACTGAAAAATAGTATGTAAATTGTTTCTCCACCGGGAAACAGATAGTAAATAATTCTGTTTTGACTACATAATTTGACAAAAAAAAATCTGCATTCCTTACAAAAGCCGTCATAGTGATGTTCTGTGACGGTAAGAACTCTAAGCAAAACGCCATATTCATGAGGAACAGTGATAAAATCCATGAGATCTCATTTATTCCTGTAAACTCAAACACCTAGAAAAAACAGGGGAGAATATCAGTAATGCCGAGAAGCTGTTTTCCATGGAATCTAATCTGTTCTACTTAACCCTCTAGTGGAAGAATCCAGATAATATTTCAAGTTCCTAAACAGTTAGAAAATAATCCAAGTCTGTTATTTGAGCAAGGAAAGAGTGCATTCACAGAAATAGGAAAAGGATTTTTTAAAAACAAAATCTGCATCTACATATCTACCTATCAAAATTTGATTCATTTGTACTTCCATATCACATATCAATTTAAAGAATTTTATGCAAACATCTTTTTTTAATCTGCAATACAGCTTTCGCTCTTTGTCTTCCCCCAACTCACTTTCACTTATAACAACTACGGAGCATAATTGGGCGTACATAAAGTGAACCCATGGATAAAAAAAAAATCAGTTGCATAATAGTAAATGTGTATAAAACGAATCCTGAGTAAAGAAAAAGAAACTAGTACGTGCGACATGCCTCTTTTAAGTTATTGTCAAAATTGGGTCCAGAGTATGGAAGAAAAGTAAAGTAACTGGGGTGAAGACAGAACAATTTCAGAAAAGAAAATCCTGTATTAACAGATAAATTTTTCAACAGAATAAATGGAAAGTGAGCATAAGGAGAAAGGATACGGAGACAGCTTAGAATAAAATGAAGAAATATCTTTAAAATGCATCAAAGTATTTTGGTTTGCTTATTAGGATCTTCTATAGTATTACATTTTTTTCTGTTTTTATTTTTTGATTTTTATCACTGTCCACCATCCAGAGTCACAAATTGTGAAAGCAGCAGCTTCAGAAATCCCTTAAATAAATGAAAAATGGGAGCATGTAGTATGGTTTTAGGTTAGACAGGTATTCCGGGAAAAATATGGCAATTTATTACATATTTTAGAAATATAGAAATGCCATTTATTAGCGACAAGAAAACTCTAATGGACTTTTTGCTGAAAAATGAACTTATGATTTATGGCTTTCAAAATTAGAAAGGGTAGCTTATAGAAAGAAGGAAATTATGATGTAATCTTAGAGAAAGAGGATAAAGTATAAATCTGTAACTGCTATCAGGAAGATCAAAAGCCTTTTCTTTGGAATTGTCTCCCCCTCCATATCTATTTCTTCCTCCCCCATATTTCTTGTTTATTTTCTTATCACTTTTCTTTATACTTCTTTCATCCAAAATTTGTATTTTTTAATTCTGTTGAAAAAACTCAGTAAGAATTAATTAAAAAGTACAAAGAAACAGGGTGGATAAAAATCGATGATTAAAAACAAAACGTTTTTTTTTTAATCAAATTTATTTTAATAAAATGTTTCTGGAGTAAAAATCTATCTAAAGGTAGTTTTCTATTTAAGATACATTAATAATTTAGTTTATTCAACATGAAATGGAGCTTAGTTATGTAGCATAAGGCTGTATATTCTGCAATACTGGGACTGTCGGTGAGTCAATAGCGGGTCAAAGGTAGAGCTGCTGTGGGACAGAGATGACAGTTACTCTTTAAAAATTATGATTTAAATTGAGTTGATTTAAATCAAGCCTTTTTACTAGTGATTTAAATCAACTTGGTTTAAATCAAACCCACCTTACAAATAAGTGTGTAAATGTAATTAAAGCTACTGTCATTTGTAGGTTTGAATGATGCTTTTGATAAGCTGAATACCTTGCATAAATATGGAGTTAAAGGTTGGCTGCTGAACTCCTCAAGAACTTTTCATAATGGGAGTAAAATATGATTACAACAAATGGAATGCTCAGGGAACAGTTTAAGCAGGTAATAAAATAAAGATGAGTGATGTTCCTTGACTGGTTGATATAAGAAATACTTACGGTGACATTAGAGATGAGCTGGTTGGGGTTGTAAATATATGTTTATGTTTATACACAAATGACCCCATGTTGTTGGTTGAGAAACCAAATGATTTTCTGCAAATCTCAGATACTGTACAATGTAACAGGAACTATAGAACTGAACATTAACGTTCAAGAATTAAGGAAAAATACTACGAATAACTAAAAGTGAGAAATACCTAACAAGTAGGGTAGGTAGTCGAATTTCTGTATTTTGACAGAATACTTAGCAAAGATGGGGAAATGGATGGAGAGAGAGATTTAAAAGAGATCATATTTGTGATGTTTTGTGAGGGTATCAAAATGTTGGGAACCAACCCAGGTAGGAGGACTCAAGTGGGGAATTAGCATTGAATCATTGCATAGCTGCAAGAGATCTAGATTCTCTCTCTCTCTCTCATACACACACACACCTCCATGGAACCTTATCTATCTGTTTCCAAAGGAAGCCAAGAAGTCTGGGGAGATTCCTGTATTATAGGCAGAATATAATAAAGCAGTTATCTTGAATTCTACATGTGTGGATCAGGTTGCTTGACTCTGACATGAAATAAGTGAATGGAGAGAGCTAAACCTCACTATTTCCTTGCCTCTTCCTCAGCCAGGCCTGGCAAGCTCGTTGGGCAGAGTAGGCTCAATGCCTTCTTGCCCTCCCCGTGAGTATCCGAGGACTGCACCCTCACCCAGTGCCTAGATCTTGGGCCATTAGCAGGAGGAACAAGATGGCAAAGTCAGCTGTGGGCAGTGGACGGTGGCAGTGGGGCCAGTAGAGGCATGTGGAGTAATACAGGATGCCCAAAAGAGAAGATGGGGGGCGGGGTTTAAAGATAAGCAATGGGAGAGTTGAAGTGAGGGCAAGCACACCAGGGCAGGAGAAGCATGAGATTCTCACCTAAGGTTATTCAAGAAAGAATATCAGCCCCACAAAAAATAAACATCAAAATCAGATAAAAATGCTAGCTTTATGGCTTATCTGATCTGGCATACATGATTTCTTTCTTTTCTTTTTCTTTTTTTAATTTGGAGGGAGGGCCTCTATTTGTTAATATGAGCCATTTTAGAAACCAATTATTTTCCAAAATTTGGGATTAAAACTATAGTTAAGTACATATCTTTTGTATTTTTCACAATTGAATGAAAACCTATTTTTATTACACAGATTAAGATGGCTAAGCTCCTAAAAATTGGCGTCACAGGTTACCTCAATTACAATGTTTATACTGCTACCATTCTCCCAGTATAGTTTAAAATATTTTTTAGACATCCACTAAAGCTAACATTTTAGTTTTTGATCACTTTTG